GGACTTCTCGGGCATGGAGCTGGACGAGGCGCTGCGCAAGTTCCAGTCCCACATCCGCGTGCAGGGGGAGGCCCAGAAGGTCGAGCGCTTGATCGAGGCCTTCAGGTGAGCGCCGGCGCCTGCCGGAACCGCCCGAGCGCTCTGGAACCGGTTCCGTGCTCTGAAACAGGTTGCGCGGTCTAGGACCGGTTGCACGGTCAAGAACCGTTTCCCCGGTCTTCAACTGGTTGCACCATCAAGAACCAGTTGCGTGGTCTAGAACCGGTTGCATGGTCAAGAACTGGTTGCACCATCAAGAAACGGTTGCACGGTCTCTAGAACCAGTTGCATGCTCAAGAACCATTTGCACCATCAAGAACCGGTTGCATGGCTTAGACCTGGTTGCATGGTCTCTAGAACTAGTTGCATGGTTTCTAGGACCAGTTGCATGGTCTACAACTGATTGCACAGTCTCTAGAACAGGTTGCTCGGTCTCTAGAACCAGTTGCATGGTTTCTAGAACCAGTTGCTTGGTCAAGAACCAGTTTCTTGGTCAAGAACTTGTTGCAGCATCCAGAACCGGTTGCAGGGTCTCTAGAACCAGTTGCATGGTCAAAGAACCAGCTGCATAGTCTAGAGGTGGTTGCACCATGAAGAACCAATTGCATGGTCAAGAACAAATTCCACGGTCTAGAACTGGCTGCACCATCACGAACTGGTTACACGGTCTAGAATTGGTTGCATGGTCTCTAGAAACAGTTACATGGTTTCTAGAACCAGATGCATGGTCAAGAACCAGTTTCTTGGTCAAAAAGTGGTTGCGGCATCCAGAACCGGTTGCACGGTCTAGAACTGGTTGCATGGTCTCCAGAACTGGTTGCACGGTCTCCAGAACGTTGCACAGTCTAGAACCGGTTGCATGGTCTAGAACCGGTTGCACGGTCTCTAGAAGCGCTTGAGTTACACGGTCTAGAATTGGTTGCATGGTCTCTAGAAACAGTTACATGGTTTCTAGAACCAGATGCATGGTCAAGAACCAGTTTCTTGGTCAAAAAGTGGTTGCGGCATCCAGAACTGGTTGCACGGTCTAGAACTGTTGCATGATCTAGAACTGGTTGCATGGTCTAGAACCATTTGCATGGTCTTTAGAACCAGTTGCATGGTCTCTAGAACCGGTTGCATGGTCTAGAACCACTTGGATGGTCTCTAGAACCAGGTTGCACAGTTAGAACCACTTGGATGGTCTCTAGAACCGGTTGCACGGTCTCTAGAAGCGCTTGAACACCAACTGCATGGTCTAGACCCAGCTGCACGCTCAAGAACTGCTCGTGCGCTCTAGAACCCGCGTCCGGGCTATGGGGCGCCCTCACCCCATGGGCCATGGGGCCGTTCTGCCCCACAGCCAGCGCTACTGCGTGTGTAACGCGGCCCTGCTGCGCCAGTTCCGCAACCCGGACACCATCTTCATCCTGGCCTTCGCCGTCATCCTCCTCAACACCGACATGTACAGCCCCAGCGTGAAGGCCGAGCGCAAGATGAAGCTGGAGGACTTCATCAAGAACCTGGAGGGACATTTTAAGTGACCCTATAGAAGAACATTCTACGTGGCCCTGTAGAGGGACGTTCTAGGTGACCCTATAGAGGGACCTTTTAGGTGACCCTATAGAAGTACATTTTAGGTGGCCCTGTAGAGGGACTTTCTAGGTGACCCTATAGAGGGACATTTTAAGTGACCCTATAGAAGAACATTCTACGTGGCCCTGTAGAGGGACGTTCTAGGTGACCCTATAGAGGGACCTTTTAGGTGACCCTATAGAAGTACATTTTAGGTGGCCCTGTAGAGGGACTTTCTAGGTGACCCTATAGAGGGACATTTTAAGTGACCCTATAGAAGAACATTCTACGTGGCCCTGTAGAGGGACGTTCTAGGTGACCCTATAGAGGGACCTTTTAGGTGACCCTATAGAAGTACATTTTAGGTGGCCCTGTAGAGGGACTTTCTAGGTGACCCTATAGAGGGACATTTTAAGTGACCCTATAGAAGAACATTCTCCGTGGCCCTGTAGAGGGATGTTCTAGGTGACCCATGGAGGGATGTTCTAGGTGACCCTGTAGAGGAACGTTCTAGGTGACCCTATAGAAGGACATTCTAGGTGGCCCTGTAGAAGGACGTTCTAGGTGACCCTATAGAGGTACATTCTAGGTGACCCTGTAGAGGGACATTCTAGGTGCCTCTGTAGAGGGACATTCTAGGTGACCCAATGGAGGGACATTCTAGGTGGCCCTGTAGAAGGACGTTCTAGGTGACCCATGGAGGGATGTTCTAGATCTCCCATTAGAGAAATGGTGCATATGATCCTCTAGAGCGATGTTCTGTGTGTTCCTATAGAAGGACGTTGTAGGTGTCTCTATGGAGAGGTGACCTAGGTGTCCTTATGGAAGGATGTTCTAGGTGTCCCTATGAAGGGGCATCCGAGCTCACTCTAGGGGTGGGGAATGTTCTAAGCGATCTCTTGGAGTGTTCTGGGAGACCCTATGGAGGGATGTTCTAGGGGACCCTATAGAGAAGCCTTCTAGGTGCTCCTATAAACAGACATTCTAGGTGGTCCTACAGGCAGGTGTTCTGGGTGCCCCTATAGAAGGATGTTACAGGTGTCCCTATAAGTGGACGTTCTAGGTGTCCCTATAGACAGACTCTAGGTGCCCCCATAAAAGGGTGTTCCAGGTGTCCCTATAACCAGACTTTTTAGGTACCGCTATAGACAGACATTCTAGGTGTCCCTATGCACAGACGTTCTAGGTGTCCCTATAGACAGATGCTCCAGGTGTCCATATGCACAGACGTTCTAGGTGTCCCTATGCACAGATGATCTAGGTGTCCCTACAGACAGACATTC